GCCCACAATACACAGGCCTAACCTTAATGGTATAGGGTGCCTTAAGTTACAACTCTCGTTCGCCATTGGTATTTGTGGAGGGAATCTTGAACACCCACAGGTACTCCCAGAATATTGTTTAACCAGTCTTGGTGCAATCCCTCAACAGAAAGTAAATGTGTTGTTCCAGCAGCATAATACCTGCTAACGTAGTACCCGTACTACTCAAATGGCTCTACAAGAAGTTCAACTACCCTGGACTAAACTATCCCTCCCCATTTAATATTTACTGAACATGGGACTACGCTTAACTTATTCATTTAGGCCACCTACAACACATGATGTATTGTGCCATCAGGTGACGAGAAATAGTGTATCAGTTATTTTGATTAAAATCACAATACATATGTTGCAAATTTATTTACCGTCTGTATAGATTCTGTAGATAACCTTTTATGTGTATGCAAATCTGTAGATTATATTTTATCGCTTAAGTATTAACCAATTATATAATAAAATCGCCACAAATGAAACAGTATATAATCAAGAAACAAAAATAGCATCCTCTATTCTGATAAACCAGTTCGTTTTCATTAAGAAAAATTACCAAAAAAAAAAAAAAAAAAAAAAGGTGATCGAGTAGATTTAAGAGTGATCAACTTTTTTTAAATCATTTCGCCCCAAGGAACAACTGATAGAGATCTTCAAAAATTTAAATGCAAGGTTTACTGGAAGACAAAAAAAAAAAAAATTGAGGAGTTCCACAAGCGAGGAAAGAAACGGTTAGCATCGAACTTACGCTTTCGTCTAGCCAAGTCAAGTATTTAAAATTTTTAAAAATAAGGACTACTTCCAGAGTGGTGAAAGAATCTAAAAGTTAGGATTATTAAACAGGAGTGTAATTCTAAATTGATAAGCTAAAATATAAAATAGAAGAGAATTCATGCTGTGTAAAAAAAAAAATTATTCATTGTAGATTTCTTCCCCACCCCCGTCAACTCTAAAAGAAAACTTATTGAATTATGCATACCAATTTTTTATTATTTTTGTAAAGTTTCAGATTGATTCGATACTGTAACAAGTTTTTTTCCTGCAATAGCTTTAAGTGATTTTTTCTATACAGGTGTCCATAAAGTTCGTGTGCACTTTTAAAAAATTTAAAGTGTAAAGTGCACACGAACTTTATGGACATCCTATTAAAATATTCACAATATAGAAATGGGGGATAAGAATACTTGACCGAAAAGGTTTCTAGAAAATAATCTAATAAAATAAACCATTCAGTATACAATTCAAAAATAATGAATAATTTCTGAAATTTTCCATTTAAATCGGATGATTCCTTAAAGAATCATAAATAAAAACCTATTTTTCTATCATCAGAAAAAAAAAAAAAAAAAAAAAAGCAAAAGCATCTCTCGTACCTAAAACTAAGAAGTTTAGGAGCGAGACTCAAGTAGAGACAGAATCTGATAAGAACTTGGGCTGATCCCTGGCCAACTTTATATAGATGCTGTGGTTGATCAAAAATTTACAACTTAAACAAAGAAAAAAGTATTAAGAGCAAAATACAACGTATGACATAACTGACTGCGTTCAGAAAGATTTAAAGTAAAAAAAAAAAAAAAAAAAAAAAAAAAAAAACAAACACTGATCAGTGTAAAATATGTTTCTCGAAAAGAAGAAAAAGAAAAAAAAAAAAAAAATTACGTGCTAACAAGTTTGGATAGTTTTTCATTCTATATCCGATGACAAAATACTAAGATTTATAAAGAAATGAAATTGATTTCCGTTTCTAGTGGCATCCAAATAAATATTGGATATAATTGAAGTAAACTAAACAGGAAGAGTTTCAGATAGGATCGAGGGGGGGGAGCCGAAAATTCAAGTGGAATTCTTTTTGCGTCGTCGCCGGTCGAATAGTCGTTTACTATTTAGGGTGGCTATTTGCTAAACCTAGCTTTGTCTTCTTGAGGCATAAAAGAAAATCAAGTTAAACAAATGCAAAGCAGTTGAAAAATAGAAATCTTAACTAACAGTAGTCAAAAAAAAAAAAAAAAAAAAAAAAAAAAAAAAAAAAAGTAAGATTCATGCGCTAACCATTGTGTTATAAAAAAGGTGAGACTTCCGTTTTTCAGTCTATGTTGAAATGAACTCTAGAAATAAAAATAAAATCAAGAAAAAAATGTCGGAGTTATGCACAAGTCAACAAAACAAATAAAAATTAAGACTCGATTTGTGTCAGCAATCGATTGTCATTACTGATCTGCAGTTGAGGTTATAAGTTGAGTCTAGTCAATGGATTTCATAAGTTGAGGGACATCAATAAACAACGTGAGCGAGCAAGTGTGTGTATATAGTGAGAGAGAGAGAGAGAGTGAGTGAGTGGAGAGAGAGAGAGAGAGAGAGAGTGAGTGGAGAGAGAGAGAGAGTGGAGAGTGAGAGAGAGAGAGAGTGAGTGGAGTGAGAGGAGAGAGAGAGAGAGTGGTGGAGAGAGAGAGAGAGAGTGGTGAGAGAGAGTGGAGAGAGAGAGAGAGAGAGAGTGAGTGTGGTGGAGAGAGAGAGAGAGAGTGAGTGAGAGGAGGAGAGAGGAGAGAGTGGAGAGAGTGGAGGAGAGTGGAGAGTGAGAGGGAGAGAGAGAGAGGAGGGATGAGGAGAGAGAGAGGGATGAGAGAGAGAGAGAGAGAGAGAGGATGAAGAGAGAGAGAGGAGAGAGTGAAGAGAGAGAGAGAGAGGAGAGAGAGAGAGCGAGGAGGAGAGAGAGAGAGAGCGAGCGAGTGGATGGAGAGAGAGAGCGAGAGGAGAAGGATGGAGAGAGAGAGAGAGAGAGCGAGGATGGAGAGAGAGAGAGAGAGCGAGGGATGGAGAGAGAGAGAGAGAGAGATGGAGAGGATGGAGAGAGAGAGAGAGAGCGAGTGAGTGGATGGAGAGAGAGAGAGAGAGAGGAGTGGATGGAGAGAGAGAGAGAGTGGAGGAGGAGTGGATGGAGAGAGAGGAGAGAGAGGAGGAGAGAGAGCGCACGAGTGAGAGCGAGTGAGGATGGAGAGAGAGGATAGAGTGAGGTGCGCACGAGTGAGAGCGTGCGTAGAGACCCCCCACTGAGTAGACAGAAGCAAACATGCAAGCGAGTTTTGGCAACTAGCTCTCCTTATATGGCGTTATACAGCGAGTTTAGTTTGACTCAAGGCTACAAGTATGGAGCACTGAACCCTATAGCAATGACCGCACAGTCACCCCCGAATCTCTTTACATAGCCTGTTTAGGTTCGCATCTATACCGTCCCAGGGTTGTACTTGTACACTAAAAAAAAGGGGAGGGCTATTACAATTTTTCTCTGCACCGATAGGACAAAAAAGGTTATCGCCCCAATATATATTTTAAGGACAAAAAGGAAACCCGATAAATAAATGCAGTTAATCAATTACCATACAGGGTAGCCACCATTACAAATGGTGTAACCCCCACCAAGAAGGTACAAGTCATTTATCTTTGTCAATTTCAAAACAAATCTAATCTGAAAGGAATGATGCGCTTGTGTTTACATTAAGAGTCTAGCGTGCTAAGCGAAAACCACCTATAAGTTATCTCCCCTATTGTTTCCATAAGCGATTCTAGGGGGGGGGGGCTTTGTTATGAATGAAACGTACACTAAGTTTAAAAATAACTGGTACAACGTCTACACTCAGAAATAGGTTTTGACTTCCGTGTATCATTTGTAAACATTTTGATGCAAATATTGTCATCCCCACTGCCTGACGTCAGGCTTAAAACAATGCAAGAGAAGCAATTTTCTTTTGGTGCATATGGACTAGAAATTGCCTAAAGTTGTTAACTCAATACGAAGTGAGTGATTAAATAAGTGGGCATACAAATTAGCAATGCAAGACAAGATCGAAAAAGAACTTAAATGAAAGCGTCATCTTTTCCTTTCAGTTAAATTCATTACACAAAGCATAAAAGAAACGTTACCTGGCCATTTCATTTTGGTAAATCCTGCGACATCTGATATCCAATCAGTAGTCAGCTGCGATGGGTCGAAGAGTTGTATCTCAGTTCGATGCAAGATTAAAAAGTGCAAAGCGTTTACATTTTCCTTCCCCTTTCAACAAAAAAAAAAAAAAAAAAAAAAAGGGGGTGCGGGTCCATGGTATTTATAATTAAAAAGCATCGATTGAAATGAATCGATACATGTTGACAAGTTCGAATATCGACGAATATGAAGGAGGAAACTGTCAACGCTTTACAAGGCATGCAGTTAATAAGAAAAAAAAAAAAAAAGAAAGAAAAAACCTGATGTTTAGTATATTTTTCATGCATCTTTTCAGCAAACAAAATGCAAGAAAGAAAGAAAGACAGTTTCAGGAATTCCAACATTTATTTCTGAACTTTAAGAGACAACGTTTTAACACGTTGAAGAAAGAACTGATCAATACGGAAAACGTCCGTTCTGTACAGAATGCGATGACTGAACGACAAGCATCAAGTCTTACAGCTTTTTGCCCAAATAGCATTGAAGTAAACAAGTTTTAAGTAATGTTAAACAAAAAATTTAAAGAAATTAAGATTGCCAGTTAATTTAGGCTAGACTAATTCCAAGTCAGCTGGACAGTCTTAGATTTCAATATTGATGCTCTTACGTTGGTAATCCCCCCCGTATTAACACGGGATTTTTTTTTAGCAATAGAGTCAGTTTTTTTTTTCTTATACAGACAGCCTTCATACCAGATATGTTTCCTGCAAGTTGTACCCCAACCAGGTTGGTTTTATTTTTTTTTTTTTTTTTTTTAAATGGTCTTTCAGACTTTAGTCAAAAAAGTTGATGACATTTTTTCCCCTTAAAAGAACCGGCATCGCTGTGAGAGAAGTAGAAAGTGAGAGAGAGAGAGGGTTTGGTATTCGTTTCTCTATGGTAACCAAAGCACGCTAGTGATTTTTTTTCTTACAAGAACTTTCTTTGTCCAGCGTATTTATCATTAATCCGGGATTTCTTTAAGTTAAGGGCTAAGGAGAAGAGTAACTGTTTAGAAACATTTGCGGTGAACGATGGATGGACCGGACTCATCATATTCCTGCTTGCTAATCCACATCTGTTGGAAGGTGGACAGAGAAGCCAAGATAGAACCACCGATCCAGACGGAGTATTTGCGCTCGGGGGGCGCGATGATCTTGATCTTCATGGTGCTGGGCGCCAGGGCTGTGATTTCCTTCTGCATGCGGTCAGCAATGCCGGGGTACATGGTGGTGCCGCCCGACAGCACAGTGTTGGCATACAGGTCCTTCCGGATGTCGACGTCGCACTTCATGATGGAGTTGTATGTGGTTTCATGGATACCAGCAGATTCCATACCCAAGAAGGAAGGCTGGAACAAAGATTCTGGGCACCTGAACCTCTCGTTACCAATGGTGATTACTTGACCATCGGGCAACTCGTAGCTCTTCTCAAGGGAGGAAGAAGAAGCAGCAGTGGCCATCTCCTGTTCAAAGTCAAGAGCGACATAGCACAATTTCTCCTTGATGTCACGCACAATTTCTCTCTCGGCGGTGGTTGTGAATGAATAACCACGTTCGGTAAGGATCTTCATGAGGTAGTCAGTAAGATCACGTCCGGCCAAGTCAAGACGGAGGATAGCGTGGGGAAGGGCATAACCTTCATAGATTGGTACAGTGTGGGTGACACCATCTCCGGAATCAAGGACAATACCGGTTGTACGACCAGAAGCGTACAGAGAGAGAACAGCCTGGATGGCAACATACATGGCGGGAGCGTTGAAGGTCTCGAACATGATTTGAGTCATCTTTTCCCTGTTAGCCTTGGGGTTCAAGGGGGCCTCTGTGAGAAGGACGGGGTGCTCTTCAGGGGCGACACGGAGCTCGTTGTAGAATGTGTGATGCCAGATTTTCTCCATGTCATCCCAGTTGGTGACAATACCGTGCTCAATGGGGTATTTCAAGGTAAGAATACCTCTCTTGCTCTGGGCCTCGTCTCCTACGTAGGAGTCCTTTTGGCCCATACCGACCATGACACCCTGGAAGAGAGAGAGAAGAGAGTTTAGCTAGACTGTTAGAACAAACGGCGTAGTCATGGGGGACGGGAAAAATAGTCTAAGTGGAACAAGTTATATAAAAGGAAAACAGAAGTCTATAGAATGTAGCATGGAGAAAAGTTATCGGCTACATTAGATCGAAGAAGTTACTGTGAATAGGGAAGAAAAAAACTTGACAAATCTATAATTACGGAAAGATCGAAAATCCTAAATTCCACCCCCCTAGTGATATTTAGGGAATTGGTAGTTTCTACGACTAAACGGTTTTATTTCACAATAAAAAAAGTAAGAGTAAATCACAGCATTCAGAACAGATTAAATTATAGGTTTTAATTTTAGCAATGAAAATTCTTTCATAATTAATAATCAGTCGGTCGCAAAAAAAAAAGACTGCGGCTGTATAGTCAAGTTACTTGAAGAGCGTTATGCCCTTATATGACCAATTCAAGTGAGAACGGAATGTGTTAGAATTTTGTCGATAGTGGAACCCCTCATTTTATAGTAGGAGGGGGAAGGGCTCAAGCCCTACTACCATGTATGGTTGAAGAGTTATTCTTTTTTGCTCTTTTGGAAGGGAGCATGGCAGAACAGCCTTTTCTTGAAGGAAACCCCCGCCCATCTAACCAATCCCACTGACGAATGGGACAGCGATATTAAGAATCGAGTTAGCTTTTGGTTAAGCAAGTTATTCGATTTCAGAGACTAAGAACTGAATTTAAGTTTTAGAAGAAACAGATAAAGGGTATGCATTTTATATTGTAATTAGCTTAACGTTAAATAAAGATAAAATTAAATAAATAAAACAAGTAAAAAAATTTAGTTAAATTATTTGTCGAATAACAAATTCGACAAACTAAAGTCGAAAGTATTAAACTCCCATAGATTACTTAATTTTTTTTTTAAATTGTTCACTTGAAGGTAAGATTAAAAGCGAATTAGTCGCTAAGAAAGCCTCATTGTTTGTTTGTTTGTTTTAAAAAAAAAAAAAAAAAAAAAAGAAAAATAGAGAGAAAGAAAAGTAAAAAGAAAAAAAATCTTTTTTTTGCTCACCTGATGCCTAGGTCTGCCAACAATAGATGGGAAGACTGCACGTGGAGCATCATCTCCGGCAAATCCGGCTTTGCACATACCGGAGCCATTGTCAACAACCAAAGCGGCAACGTCGTCGTCACACATGTTGATGGATTAGTTTGACTTGTGAGTCCAAACGAAAGAAAATAGTCTACTGGTATCGGCTGCTGCCTTCCTTATACACTGAGCTGTAACGAGCAACTGGCGACCGAACAGTGGCGCGTGCCTCTTTTATTCAACTCCACCAGGCTTTCCCAGAAAACTAGTCGGTTGGCACAAAGCATAGCCAAATATGGTCACGACTGTCGACAAATATGGGCATAGCATCCCAGAACGAGTTCCGGCTAAATCCGTTCGCCACGATCCTACACGCGTTTACAAGAGGAACTAACACATTCATAGCCACTTATGGAGCGTCGCTTCTTTTAGCAACCAAACAGTAATGGACTGGCACTATGGCGTTTACAATAAACCAGTTTGTCAGCCGCTGAGGTTCAGAGGGCCTACAGCTCTTTCCTTTCGTTCCTGCTTGCCAACGACAGTAACGTTTTACAGCATGTTTTCTTTGCAAGAAACAAAACTCCGTGGAAACTAAGATGTTGACAATGAAAAAGCAGAACTACGAAAAAAAAAAAAAAAATTCAAACCTTCAAACTCCAATCATTTCACCTTGTGTTTTTCCCACTCCTTGTGTTTTCGGCATTTTTTAAAATCACCGATTTTACAGGTATATCTCATTTACTTACCTTTCATTTACTTGACCCGAATTTTTTTTTTTTTTTTTTAACACGAAATTGTTCTTCAATATGTCCTTAATAATACCAGTTCGTACGACCGAAATAGATTTACTTTACTCAGTACTGATTTCTGTTACGAAGAGCGTTATTCATTTTATACGTCGTCTTTTTCAACTTTTCTAAGAGAATATTGAATATGTCCTTAAAGACGATTATAAAGACATTTTTAACTTTTGTATTTATTAAAATAACATCTTCGCTTCTAATTTCTGCCAAGTAGGTATTTAAGATCTTACACTCTGCCTTTCAAAAACTAAAACGCCCACAGTAACAATCATTTTGATCAACAAAGTCTTATTTATAAACAAAGAACATGAGCTTGTTTAGAACTTAAATAATAATTTTGATGAACGTTTCTCTGACAGTAAATTCTAACTTTCCATTTTTATTATTTTTCATTGGCATGGAATTCCCCTACTTTACTTTCAGTTTCTACAACGCAAACTGAAAATAAAAACATGTTTTTGAGAGTGAATTATTTCCCTTACATCGTTATTTTAACTTTTAAAAGATTACTTGTACGATTCCATTTGGTGAGGAAAACATTCAGGTTAAAAGAAAAATATCAGTAATCATTTATTAACTATTAAGGACTCTTAATTTAGTTAAACAGGCAATTAATTGTGGTGTTTCTACCAAACGTAGAAATCCTAGGTTACGTGGACATTATTGAATGAGAAAAATGACGATTAACATTAAGTCAAGTGAAATGTTTGCTCTCTAACGATGCCTTTTTAAAATTAATCATTTTGTTTTAAATATTTCCGAATTAAATGAGGAAATACGATCTTTTGCAAATTAAGCTAGTTTCGATTTATGGAAGGACACTTTTTGTGTGGGGGAATTTCTATTTAAAATTCTGAAAAATAATACAAGTCTAAGATGATTGTTCCGCTTTCATAACAAAATGTCTTTTTAAACTGCTTAGTCTTAAATAGCTTTTTCATGGCTTGTCTCGATTAATGCTTAGCCATCTAATAAAATTAGATGAAAATTGTGCACTGAAATATAGCGGGCAAATTCATTTGGGATGAGAAAAAAATGTCGCTAGTCGAAAATAAAATAGATAATTGCAATCTCTTCAAATCTAACCCATTTCTTCAGCCTAGAATCACAATGCTACCTTTCTTTGCTATTTTATCCTCCGTATATTTTATAGGCATATAGCACAATCTTAAACAATTTTCGTATGACTTAATTTAGGATCTGCAGTTCGAAATATATGCACACAACTCTTAAAACATTTTCCTTTTTAAGTAGATTTTGCTTTGACACTTTATTTACCTTTCTCTAGAAATTCTGCCTCGACAAAACCCGTTTGAATTTTAAGTTATTCTTTAGAATAAGTGTTCGAAATATTTACTGAATATCTTGGCTACCTTCACCGATCCGACAATAACTGTAACAATAAATGCTTTATTATTAAAGGAAATTCTTGTTCGCCTTACTCGCCCTCTAAACCATCAAAAAAAAAAAAACTTCGTTCAGTGACACTACGGAAACTTTTTTCTTTAATTTCTGCTTTTGTCTGTAAATCGGAAAATTTTTTCCCCAGTTCTAAGCAGAAAGCTATTTTCTATATAAACGGCTTGCCGAGCTAATTTTCAATATTGAATATCATTTTTAAGATGTTTCGCTCTACAGTTATTTTTGTCGTCTTTTTCGACAAGTAAAAACCTGCTTTTATTTAACATTTTTTTTTCTGTTTTGATCAGTTTTGTTGCTTTTTAGTCGTAAGATTAAGAAACTAAAAAAAGTCATCCCGAATTAAGTAATCAACATTGTTCTAGTCTTTCATTTCTTCAGGCCCCGCTGTATTTGAAACTGGGGTGACGTTGTGGCTCTATTACAAAGCCCAAGTATGACACAATGTAAAATGACGCTCGTAAGATTGTATTTCGACAATTTTCTATTGAAAATGTTTGACCACGAACTCAACTGATGCGCATCTCTCTCGGCCACAAATATGAACTTTGTTATGGTACAAACTCGTAGGGTTCATGCAAGCCTAAAGTCAAATTTATTTTAATTTGATTCTCTAAAAGGAAGGTCTTCGTGTTTCTTCTAAAAGCAAAATGACCAAAAATGGACACTTCGTTTACTTGTATAAAAAGTTAAAAAAAAAAAAAAAGGGCGAAAAAATTTATTTCTCAGATACTGTTTTTCGCTTTCACCAAAACCTAAATGCTGATATTTTTTTTTCCAGTTTCTATATACATGTTTCAACTTTAAAAGTTGAAGCCTCAGTCTTTACCACGATTCCTCGACTGGATTCAAAACCACTTAAATATTCCTGATGAAAATAGAAATAATTTCTTGATTTAAAATGACTTCACCTCGTGATTGTAATGGCTAACGAGCTTCTAGCAAAAGGCATTCTATAGTTAGTTCACCTTTCTGTATTTTATTCATTCTAGTTACGTGTCACGCACAGTTTCTCTCTCCATAGAACTCTTTTATTGTAACCATGTGTCAGACTAGACTAAAACTAGTAAATATTTACACGCCTAAATAGTACCGTAGACCACCACCCCTTAATGGTATTTTGGGAACTCCACTTTCATGGTGTGTAGATGGTGGGGGGGGAGAGATTGGTTTCAAAAATAGTCAACAACCATATCAAGCAATTCTCGTGTATGACCCTCTTCCTCCTAAATGTTCAACCTCACATCCCGTGTTGATAGTCTTTCCTCTCCCCAAACACACTTCCTCTACCCATGTTTAACCTCTATCCACATACCACTGGTGAGTAGCGAGTATAACAGCAAGTGATTGCTTCTGCATTCCAAAGAATTTGGCAAAACATTTCTTCGATGTCTGCAACTGAAGTTTTGGAATCACCTAATCAATTTTGAACCACTTATAAGGGAAAAATTTTATCGTCATATACCCGGTTCAACAAAGGCTTCCGAAATTCTTTCAAAACGAAAAAAACATATTTTCAAAACGGAGATTAGTTTGTTTTCCACTGCGTCAACCACGTTTTCGACTAAATAAAACTGGTAGAAACAAAAATGTCAATCAGGTCCTCATGAATCTTAAGATCAGATAACTACGTCCAAAATATTTAATTGTCACGTGACAACGTTCAATAATTCTATCGACATAAATAAATAACGCCCTGTAGTTTCGCTCGGATTATGATGGGAAATATTTTCTGGTTCTGGTAAAAAAAAAGCTTCAAATTTGAAATTGTTAAGCAATTCGTTGATTTGTTATAAGTTTATTTTAGCATCGAACCAAATAAGACGAAAGATTTTCTGCCGGCCTTAAAAATCAGCATCCAACGGCTTTTTTTTTTTTTTTTCTTTTCTTTTAGCTAAAAACTAATTCCTATCACTAGCTCTGTATTTATGCAAGAGTCGAACGCAGAGTTTCCAAACAAGCTGTTGCATTTCACGAAAGTAAATAAGATTAAAGCCGCTTTGCTGATAGATGCAAGACATTTGATTTGAAGTTTTGACTTTTTTTTTTTTTTTTTTTTTTTTTTTTTGTGCGATCATAATTTAGAATAATTTTTAACACGTGTAACTAACGATGGTCATTCAACTTCTAATCACAGAACTTTCTCCAATGTTCCATTTAATATTCACTTCGTTTGAGATTGTCATTTTTGTATTTTTCCGCATGGACTGATCGTTTCCCTTCGATTTAATATTAAGCTTAAATTTCAATTTCGAAATTTGATCAACAAATAAAAAAAAATGTCGTAAATTAATTCCAAACTAGTAAAAACGTAAGCTTATATATGATTACTGGCCTTCACTTTTTAATTTTGCTTCTAATTAAAATTTTAAAATTCTATTTTTCATTTACTCAATCTCCAGCTTCTTTTCGATCGGGCGACGATTAAAATGGGTCCATTCTTAACGGAAGTTCAATTTCTTTAAACAGGAAATATAACCATTCCAAGAGGATACTACACTACAAATTCACAAGCAGAATAACTAAAAGGAAAAAAAAATTATGCAAATGTATTTTGGGGTAGTGTGGATTTTACATGATCAAAGCTCAGGGTCATTGCTTTGGTTTCAATTATTTTCTTTCCAATCAAAGTAATGCTAACCCCCTCTACCATTTGAACCCTCCAGGTTTCACTTGTGGAACTACGACTGAAGTCTTCAAATAACTTCCAGAAACTGGAATGATATCAAAAACTAAGTTACTCCAGTTTGAAATATGAATTTTTTTTTTTTTTTTTAAAGCTAACCTGTTATTCAACCACATCAGCCCCAAATCTAATTTCGTCAGAACGCACGCGAACACGTGTTCATCGTTCATTTTTGCAGAAAACCACAATTTAACTTT